GTTTTGGCACTTATCTTGTAATATTTTTGCGATACTAAATCTAGTGAATTTAGGATATGTTTGTTTTGTGGAAAATGAATATTTTAAAAAATATATTTTTTTAAAAATAATTGCTAACAAAAATGAATGAACAAAAAAAAAATTCATCATCCACGAAAATATTTAGACTTAAATTGTTGTCAATAATGACACAATTTTCATTAACTAATTATTTCAAGCAATACAATCAATTATTTGTAAGGAAATGTTTTCAAATTATCTATCTTCTTCTAAATTGACGGAGCCATAGATTTACATAAGATATGGATCGAGCATTTTGATTTTATTTTGTTCATGTGTGACAAATACAAAATATGATTTGAATTATTTATACGAAAAGCTGGAACTTCTTTTTACTTAATGGGAAAAAAATCAAACCAGTTCAATGCACGGACAGGTGACTCCCATTAAATATCAAATCATGATGGCATCATTTGACTAAGCGAAAGAAGAAAATTATCCAAAATGTCCTAAATATATTGCGCTTTTACCAATTCAGTCCTAAACTTTTTAATTGTGTTAATTGAGTTGTAAACATTTTCATATTTTGCCAATTGAATTCATCTAGCCAATTTTAGTTGGAAATTGCTGACGTGGACGCCGATCATTCTATATGGCATGGCCAGCGCTGACTTAGATAATTTTAATATTTTTTCGAATTATTTATTAATATTTTTATTTTTCCATTTTTTCTTTTCTTTTCCTTCTTTATTTTTTATTTCTTTTCCTTTTCTCTTCTCTTCCTTTTTTTCCTTTTCTTTTTATTTTTTCTTTTGCCCTTTTTCCCCTCGCCAGCCCTCATCGCCTCCATTTGAGGCTGGCAAGGACAGCCCTCCCCTGAGGCAAGCAGAGGGAAAAAGAAAAAGGAAAAGAAAAAAGAAAAGAAAAGAAGAGAAAACGGAAAAAAAGGAAAGAAGGAAAAGTGAAGAAAAGAAAAATAAAAAAAATTGAAAATTATTAAAATATTATTAAAAAGTGTCCACGTCAACGTCGGCCATGCAACGTAGGATAACCGGCATCCACATTAGTGATTTCTTTCCAAAATTGGCCGGATGTACTCAATTGATAAAAAAAAATAAAAATGTTTAGGATTTAATTGGCACAATTAAAATATTTAGAATTAAATTGGCAAAAGTGCAATAAGTTTAGGACTTTTTGGACTATTTTTCCTTTTTCGCTTGGTCAAATGTCATGATAATTTGATACTTAATGGGAGTAACCTTTCCGTGCATTGAACTCGTTTGATTTTTTCCCATTAAGTAAAAAGGGATTCCAGCTTTTTGTACGGATAATTCAATTCAGATTTCGCACTCGTCATACATGAAAAAAATAAAATCAAAATTCTCAGTACATATCTTATGTAAATGTATGGCTCCGTCAGTTTAGCGGAAGATAGATAATTTGAAAATATTTTCTTAAAAATAATCGCTTGTATTGTTTGAAATAATTAGTGAATAAAAATTCTGTCATTATTGACAATAATTTATGTCTAAACATTTTGAAAAATCCGCTAAACTGTCGGAGCAATAGATTTATATAGGATATGGACCGAGAATTTTGATTTTATGCTGTTCATGTACGACGAATATGAAATCCGATTTTAATTATTTGTATGAAAAGCTGGAACCCCTTTTTACATGATGAGAAAAAAAGGATCCAACGAGTTCAACGCATGGGAAAGGTTACTTACTCCCATTAAGTATCAAATCATGGCATCATTCGACCAAGCGAAAGACTACCTCCACTAATCAAACAACAACAGAGAGTCGACTCCCTTTTCAGTTCCCAGACAGACATTCTCAAACTCGCAGTCAATTTCACTTTGGAATACTACAATTGGGGTATTTCTCGTCCAATAAAGCATGAATCGAATAGAGCGAGCTTCGTCATCAGATTCCATGTCTCTAGAGCCACCAAGAACAACAGTCTCCCTCACTGGACACTGTCGAGCGTGACCGGAGATGAATCGATTCGTGTCACCCACTAGTAGCCACCGGCCCCATTTCCATTTGGGTGATAAGATCCTTTTTCTGCTTCCCTTTCTTGATTAGCTCAATCATTTCTGTTCAAATTGCACACGCAAGCCGGATATTTCCATAGTCCATTCCAGCTGATGGTGAAGGGGAACCACCATTTTCGAAGGGACAACGAAGCGCGTAATCTGGTTATAAAATCTTCTGATTATTGCGGCGATCATGTCCTCTCAGAGAACAAAATGGGAAATTGCGTAGATGCTCCCCAAAGTTGTCTGTGTGAAAGTGTCGAATTAGATTTCCTGATATATGTTTCGAACTTAATTCAATCTTTTGACAAAACTTGAGGATTCGGTTGTTCTAACCAGGACATTCAGGACTCTATTATATTTTTCGGGAAACGTTGAGGACTTGATCGCCCCCATTGAAAGGTTAGCACTTGGTCGTGTTACATACATAGATTCAAGACTTTTATTGTAGTTTCCCCTACCATATCTTATGTGTCCATTCTCTCCTAACCAGTGTGAAACATGCATTATGGTAACGAAAAGACGCATGTAGATTAAGAATTCGAATGCTCTCCCCATTGAAATACCTTGCTAATTTTATGGACTGTGCAAAACACGGGATGCAAATGTGTTGAGCTTTTTCGACATTTTACCCCACATTTTAGGCAACCGACAATGGAAGGACAACATTGTACACATGTTTTCACATGTGCAGATGAGATCACATGGTTAGGTAAGAGTGTGTGTTACCCCTTCATGCATTCATGCGCATCACAATGTTAGCAGTGACTAGGAGGTGACCCCAATTAATTTTGAGTAAATCTTAATTTCAATAATTTCAAATAGTAATTGGATATGCTTAAAGCCTACACTTACACTAGGAAAAAAATAGAGTTTCTTAAGTTTGATTTTAAGAAGTGAAATCATGTTAGTCATCTTCAACATGTTATTTCCAAATAAAATATATTCTTTTTCATTTTTGAAAATGCAAGTTTCTATTTCAAAACATAATTAAAGACATAATATTTCTACACCAATTATTGAAAATACTAAATGTTTTTGCACTTTGCAAAAAATGCTAGTATAATCTAAATCGTGATAAGGGGAAAAAAGTGAACATGTTTCATGCATATCTTTGGCATCTCTAAGAGGAAAATAATCACCGAACGAAACACTTGTGAGGAGAAAAACAAAAAAGAAAGCAAGGTTGACATGCTCCGTGGAGCTTAACACTATGATATTATTTGCATCACTCATGATTTTGGATTCATGGCTAAATTTGACTTTGTGAGAGAAATTAGAAAGAATTTTATTTGATGACTTACTATCAAATAGACATTTTAGTTGCATTAGCAACAGTATTGTACTAGATGACTTTACCTGTTTTGTTTTCACACAAACTAATTTTATTTGGAATTACTAACTTTTCTTCGAAGTTACCAATTTGTTTTGTGTTGCCAATTCTTATTTGATCGGCTTACCAATGTTTATTTGTATTTTTTAGCTTACCAGCTTTTAATTGAGTTGCGCTTTTATTTGCCTTGCTAACTTTTTTTTTTAATTTATCAATTATTTTTAGAAATTTCCAACCTCAATTAGAGTGACCACCAATTTTCATCTAATTATGTCATCAACTAGTTTTGCATTGCCAACTCTTATTTGAATTAATCATTAATTTTTAATTGGTTTTTTAAATACAAAATTTGCTTATCTCTGACAAAAGAACTTCTCTTTTCTTTTACTAACTTTTTATCTACCTTTTTTACCAATGGTTTAAATATATTGACTTTTATTTTTAAAATACCAACCTTCTTTGTGTGACTTACTAATTTATCTCTAACTAAGTTACCAATTAGTTTTTCATTACAAATTCTCATTCAAGTTGCTTGCTAACGTTTATTTCTTTTTTAAGTTTACCAACTTTTCTATTTACCACTTTTATTTGCAATTGTTACCCACTCTTTAGACTTACCGGCCTTTTAATAAAAAATATGAACATTAATTAAAGTGACTACCAACTTTTACCGATTAAGTTACAACTAGTTGCACGTTACCAGTTTTTATTTGAGTTCGTTACCAACTTTTATCTGGTTTCAACTATTATATGCCATTCTTAAATTAACTCATCTTATCCTTTACAAACTATTATTACTTTTCATACCAACGCATTGAATTCATTAACTATTATATGACATGACCAACCTATATCAACTTTTCTTCAATTAAGTTACCTGCTAATTTCGGGATACTAACACTTATTTGAGTTGTTTACCAATGTATGTTTGTTGTTAATTTTTAAATTTACCAAATTTTTTTATCACTTTTATTTGCCTTAGTTATCAACATTTTTTAACTAAATTTTATTTACCTAACTTACGAACGCCTTAAATTCACCAACTATTACATGAATAATTGCACAAAAGAGTTGGCAAATTAAGGCGAAACTAAGAAAGGTAAGAAAAAAGTTGGTCATTAAAAGAACAATAAACTTTTAGAGTACCTCAAATGAGAGTTGGCAAACGCAAATGCTAGGTGTTGATTTAATGGGAGAAAAGTTGGTGAGTCACGCCAGGGTTTCTATCCAAGGTAAATAAATGGTAACTTAATAGACTAGTTGGTAATTAACAAAAAATAATCAAATAGTGGTGTGTAACTCAGATAGAGTTGGTAATCCGAAACTAGTTGGCAAGATAGTCAGGCAAATATTGGTAAGTCACTTTACTTTAGGTCGGCAGTTGGTAAGTTAGTACAAAATTTCATAATTAATTTGCAAACTATAAAAAAGTTGATTATCACATAAAATTGTTAGTAAGTTATCAACAAGTTATATGAAAAAAAAAATCACTGGTCATTTATTTTACCAATAGTTCTTCGACACTAATGGAAACTTACTGAGTTATGCCGGCACGGGATGATTCGTGTTTTTAGTTCAGAACAATAGGATTATGTTAATCAGCTTTTACAGTCTGTAAAACTCATATTTTAGAGAAATGTAAATATTTGTGCCTTCATAGACGATGCTTTCAGACTTGAGACAAGAAATTACAAAAGCAAAATCACCTTGCACTATGACACACTTCTTGCAAATCAAGAAAGAAAAGAAAAGAAATCCGAAGCTTTCTTGTTTCAGGCGTGACTTTGATCAAGTTCAGATTAAGTCGGTGTCCATTTCGTGCCGATGCTTCAGTTGATGCAGTAGTTTCAGATCTTCTTTACCGGCGCAACGAACCTTGTATCAAATAACCAGGCCTCGAAGTAGTGGCATCACACAAGTACATCAGCTGTGAATTTGCAAGTAATAATAAAAGAGTAAATAAAAAAGCTGAGTCTTTTTTCATCCAAATGCGATGAAATAAGCATATCGGTATTATACACATTGAAAAGGAGATACATAAGATGAGAATGGCAATTACACAAGTTGCTGTGTATGCATGCTTCAGCCTTTTCTCTAACAACTTTTGCCATGTCCATCGAGCTTGTAGTAATCATCAACAAGAAAACAGTTTTGCCAGAAAATGTCATAAGCTTTTGCTGATAACTCATCAGACAATTTGACGGAAGAAATATCTCGCATTCGATGAATTACAAAGAGAATCCTGAATCCTTTTTTCAGCAAGTAGATGAAATTTAATTATCATGAATGCAGAGCCAACCTGGTTATGACAAAATTAGTACTTAGCTTATGGTTGTCTTAACACATCCTAATGACGTAAGGTGTAAGCGTTGGAATTTGTGATCCAATTTCTAGAGACTTCTAGGATGGGCATTGAATCCTACAAAAAATCCTAGTCTTAGGCGGCAATGAATTTGTGCAGAAGAGTCTAGAAAGCACAAGCAAAGTGTTGAAGTCTCTAGGAGCTTATGCGTGGAGAGGAAGCTTGAAGATGTCAGCACCAAAGACTAGAAAAATCTTGTAAAAAAGGTAAAAAAGGTCAACAATTGTGGGAGAGAGTCGGTGGAGTTGCTCTATAAATAGAGCTTAGTATCATTCATGCAAGGTGGGGGGAGCATGAACTAAAAGACCATATCATGTGGCTTCTCCATCACAACACCTCCTGCAACTATTGTAAAACCATTTCTATCAACTAGTGAAACTATGCTTGTCCCGTATACCTTGCCCCTTGTCCATTCCTACATCCAACTATGCCATACACACATACACTTGCACACATCACAAAACACAAACTATCATCGATATCAAACACCATGCTTCCACACAACCTACAAATTTTTACCAGTAAGAATCTCCAAATGAATAAGCAAAGATTAGTGTCCCTCATGCGTCGACCAAAAGGTGTTCAATTGAAACTGCAATGCTATATAATTCTCTTCCAAACAACGCAGCATGCCCGAGCAAATTGTTCTTGAAGAATGGTATATGGCGTGCCTGCGTAAGTTTTGGATTTATTAAATGGGTAGAAATTTTTTTAAGTAAATTGTCTGAAAATACAGCTAATTTTCCTCTGGTTCGTCAGTATTTTAGTTGGAGTATACATCAAAAAAAAAATGTTTTAAGAGATAATTATGCAAGTAAAGCTCGTCCTATAGTCAATCTCATGAATTGATCATCTTTTGAAAGTTTTGTAGCATAAACTCCACCTGCTAAATGACTTATTAACTAACTAAACAACAAATACGTTACAAAAATAACTGACAACGATAGATTAGATCTTTGAAGCACATCATTTCAAATTATCTCAGCTCCCTAATTGATTCCGTTTTCATCACATTTTGTGTCCTCTATCCTCAACACCACACATCGAAATATAAGAGACCCTCTATGTAGAGCAACTCTCACACGAAGCAAAATCACTCAACATAAGCATAGTCATGTCAACTTCAACAATGTCGTTGGACACGCAAAGTTCAAGGGTTTACACTGTCTTAATCTAAATTAGCAATCAGATGAACCATCACACGGTTTTTCCATGGTTAAAAACTTTTTCTGAAAGATACAAAAATTATATGACAATAATATGGATTAAATTTTTACATGTCCAAACTAAGAATAGGTAAAAACAACCAAATCAAAATGGATTTGGCACCTCCATATACTGCCAACACGTGCGTAATTACGTCTCAATTAAACTTCTCAACCAGATTAATGAAATTTAAGCACACGATAACAAGTAAAGAACCAGTATAAGCCATAATTCAGATTAAAGATATGCAAAGAAATAGACACAAACCTGAAGCAAGAGAACCCGAGTGCTCTTCAAAACACACTAAAAAATTATCTAAATTCTCCTTCCATTCATTCCAATACTAGCTGCACAAAGAAGAAAAACAAGACAATAAAAAAGCTGTTTGGAAAGGCAAAAAAGGGAAATCAAATTTACACATAAAAGATCAATAGCTGTTCAGTTCCTTCTCATGAGGAAGATAGAGAAATTCAAGAAAGCCAACAAAGATCTTAAACTAGGCACTAAAGGGTTTAGAAAAGAGAAAATTAAGGGGGGCGAGAGAGAGAGAGAGAGAGAGAGAGAGAGAGAGAGAGGCTGAATTGAGGTGATGACAGAAGCATAGAGAGCACAAAGGAGAGAGATGCAAATTTCTGCTGCACATCCACATCTGTGCTCTCTATCTTCTGTCAACAACCAACATTCACCAAAACGTTGCCTCCTCCTCTCTAACACTACCCTAGCTAGGCTGTGTTTTGGATCAGAACACAGTGTCAAGATTGAAACGTTTTTTTGTCATAAATAAATACAGAGAGAGAGAGAGAGAGAGAGAGAGAGAGAGAGAGAGAGAGAGAGAAGTATTTGTGCTGTGTTGTGGGGTTGGTCTTTTGTGGATGACCTATAATGCACAGCACTGCCAGTACCCTCTATTTATAATAAGAAAAGTTATAAGCTACTCAAGGAAAAAGATAATTAAAGAATATAAAGAATGCGTAAGTTGTAGATACTGCTCTAGCTTTGTTTTTCTCTTTTTAAAATTCCAATTGTACCACTCACTGATTTGTCTCATAATTGTACTCTCCCCATTTTTGTAACCGCCTCTCACGAGATGAAAATTTCTAGTGAAAGGACACTATCAATAACTTCCTAACAACCCTACAGAAAAAAAAAATTGTACTCCAGATATATTCCCATTGATAATTCCACCCATTTCTGTCAGAAATTTCATGCTGCCACTATCAAGCGTTCCACTTTTCCCACAAATGGTAAGTTTTTGAGCCATACCTAGAGTGGGTGTTGACTATTGAGTGCGCCAAGATTCAAGAAACAGTTGACCCAGATTTGTTGACAACATTTTCAGTGAGAATTTAAATATTCTAAATTCCTTTCTTTGAGGGTTGAATTGAATCTTGAGGAGTTTTTCCATCTTGGTACAGTAACAAAATCCATCTTTCTTAGTACTGCGGCAGCAGCTTTTTACATGATCCACCATGTGCCCCTGCGATTTCTCCAATCTTCTGAAATCAATTATAAAACCAGCAATTCTACATGACCCCTTTCATTGAGAGATGCATGATACGACACTCAGTTGTTCAATCAAAAGTTTGTTGCAAGTTCACGTTCTGTGTTGACTTATTTTCAATCATGCAATATAATGCAGTGTGTTTGTGTGAGAGAGAATAGTGTGGGTGTGTGTGTGCGCTTGACCCACCAAAGCGCACGATAAGACTCAGTAGACCAAGCATGGGCCAATAGATAATGAGTGAAGCTCTGGAGTGGGGTTGAAACTGTTTTCTCTTAAAAGGAAGAAAAATATGAAAGAGAAAGGACTACATGTATTGACAAATTAGACTTTGCAGAGTGTGTGGAAGGAGAGCTATAGACTGACATGCTTCAGATTTTATCTCTTTGTGAAAGGGAAAGTTCACAGCCATTATTATTATTGCCATATTTGGGGGGAAAAAGAAACCTACCATTAAAACTTGTGGGGATTGTTGGAGATGCTTCATGGACAATGTGGTTGGGCAGTCAGACTCCAATTGCCAAGAAAAGGCAATTGATATCTTCTAGGTTACAACAACGGAAATAATGAAGGAAAATATCTTCTGTTAAATTACAATTTTTTGGTAAAAGAAGTGATTATGTACGTATAAGCTAAACATTCTGCCAAATTTAAATATCGGTATGCCACTTTCTCACTTTCGGCTTCGTCGAAAAGCTGTTCTATGTACATTTGTTACCTAATGGGAAACTAAAATACCAATGCCGATAAAAAGCTCTAAAACCCTATTCTATTTTGGGGTCGAAGACAGCATGCTGTTCTCGCAAATTTCACACCCAGATGGTGGATATGGTGTGTGGCGTTCGATGCCATTTCAAAAGACCCCTTTGGATAAAGAAGTTTCAGGTGACAAGTCAACTTCTATATGGAGCCCATTCAACATGCTTTTGGGTATGCAAAATGCGCTTAAGGTCATCTTTCATATCATTGTACGCTACAGTTTCCATTTCGTTTTATGAAAAAAGGAACAAATGGAAACAAATTGACAAGTGATCTAACCAAAAAAAAAAGAAAAGAAAACCGATTCTCTACGTTGGTTTTCATTTGAGAGAGTATATGCATATTTTCAGATTAGCGAACACCTATCGCATTGTCATTGTATGATAGAGTGCCCTATACCGGAAGAATTTCCAGTATCGAATTTCACAGACAAACGACAGATGAGGAATCTGGCAATTTTGACCATTCTCAGTGCTTCCAGTGATACGGCCGCTAGTTGTTGCTGAATAATGATTCTTGATATAAATGTAACCAACGAAAGGTAACAAGAGATCATGGGTAGATAAAAGTGCACAGTAATCTAGAGTTCCCAGCTAGGACCACCATTCATCTCTGTCTGAATAATGTAAGGCACATGCACAGCTCTTAGAGTAGGGAAATTAATTTTTTTTTTCAAGTGCTTGCGAGTTCCTCTAAATAAAGAAGAAGATCTCCCCATGATCGATTTATTACCGTTCAATATTCAATGCGATGTATAGTCATAACCCAAAAGAAGGTCTTGAAAGAGTTGGATTTGTACATGCCTGGAAATTCTGTCAACTGGGTCAAGATTTTGCTGAATAAGAGATGTCCCAGACATCCCTGAGTCCCCCAACCAATTTATACTTTTCCCACAGAAGCATAATGTATTTGATCTATCAAACCATCTCCAAAGTCTCTTGTGATTTTTGGAAAGGAAGATTAATGCTGAGAAATCATGGATCCTCAACTTCTGCAGCTAAATTAATGCAAATACATCTCTCAACAAGGACTTAAAAGCCCAGTTTACAAGCCAGAAGTGGGTGTGCATGTTTAGAGGGAGAGAGAGAGACAGAGAGCGCCCGGAATGGATTGACTTAGTGGTTAAAAAGGGTGCATCGCACACGATTCCATTCCTGACTCCACCAAGGGCAAATAATTCTACAAGGCTCTTCATAGAATCCCATATCAATCTAGGGTTTGATTGGTCAGGTCACATCCGCTCAAATTGTAGCTCGCGCGTCAACGGACATTAGTAGGATATTTTCGCAAGTCCGGGAATTATCCATCAGAGAGCGTGTGTGTGTGAGTGTGTGGGGTTACTTGCGTTGTGCGTCAGAAGACTACTTTTTCAAAGAGCTGCAACTTGCCAAGAAGCATGGAGAGGAGAGGATAGGGAAAAGCAAAAGGGGAAGCTCCCCGAAGCAACCCTCAACACACATCTCTTATCCATAAAATTTTCTCTCTTTTCTCAAGAGAAAAAAAAAAAAGAAAGAAGGAAGAAGATAAATTCCATGTTCTGTCATCAGCTGTGTTTTTTTTGAGTGTTTTTGCCTAATGGGGCGGCGAGGGCCGACAGAATATTGAATTATGCCTTCGCTTGTTGGCTTACGTCTTGAGACCCCATTCCATTTTTGGCCTCCATGTGGCCCAATGACAGTGACCGACGTGACTCTCATGGGCAACCCCCATAGGGAATTCCCTTTTTCAACAGCTAGCCCCATTCATTCAAGAATTTGATACCCCAAGATACTTTCATGACCTTATCAAACCTTTTCTTTTTCTTCTTTCATGTAATTTTTTTCTCAAGATCTACACTTTTTACACTTTTGAGATTTCAAAGAATAACGCGTAGAGCGGAATCAAACTCTATGCGCGCGCTCGGTTATCATTATGCTTACTTTGTAACTTAATATAAGTTTGATTCATAATTATCTGTTCAATTCTACTGTTCGAAAGTAATAAAAAGAGGACGATAATAAGACACAGAGATAGTATGTGAAGTTGACGATGAGGATTCTATGATGTTGCCGGAAGTATGAGGTGAGTCAGTTAGAGAGAAATGGCTATGCGAAATGAGACTTTACTTTTTCGCTATTATCCATGTGGGTAAAAAAAAAATACTATATGAGGGCAAAATTGGGAGGGACCTTAAAGTGAGACAAACTTATTTTAATGTTTTTGGATTGAAATTTTTCGCCGTGGTACCGACAACTGGATCATCTTTCGAGCCCTATTAGTCAATCATTTCATGAGTGAATTCTTGCTTTTTCACCTCTCGTCCTTCTATTTCCATGTACAGGATGACATCATCTTAAAATATTGCAATTTGCCATTTACATGGAAGATATAATTGTGTCACTATCTTTATTTTCTGCTTACGAACGTAAAAAGAGGTGCCAAATGTATCTGGCATTGCTTATATACGAGCTTAGAATATGCCTTATGTTTCTTTACCTATTAATTTAAGTTCTTGAGTCGTGCATTCTAAGTGTCTTTTTAAACCTCAAGATGCAAGTGCGTGGGTAAACCAGTCGTATATAATAGGCGTTTAAAGTAGAGGAATACAAGGAGTAACTATGTGAAACTTGATGGTTATTGTGTAATATTCTCTTGTTAGATTTGGCATGAGTAGCTATACAAGTGATGATGGACTAGGATTGGTCACAAAAATCGCACTTCATCATTCTACTTTCATAACTAAAAGAAGTGGGCTCGTGACTTGTTATACTCCTTGAGAAAAATTCTATCATGTCCTTGACTTAAAACCACGGTCCTATATTATACATCTTGTCCAACAATAGATATAGTAATCGAATGGTATCGGGCATCGTATTATTGAAATTCACAATTGCCATTACAACACAACCATGAAAAAAAGTGCAAAGGAGAGAGACCTAGAAGATAATCATCACAAAAGCAGCTTGACATGACACACATGACTACAATGGGGAACCCAGTCTCCATTCTGTTGCTGCTCAAAAGATGAAGGGAGAAACAAATGGGGGGGTGGGGTTTTGGGGGACCCCAGGGATGGCCATTCTTGGAGAAAGGGATGGTTTCGGAGTCTCTGGCTTTCCCCTTTTGGCTTTGGATGGGGTGATCAAAAGTGAAGTTTGGTTGGGCAAATTGGGGTTCTCTAGAACAGTGTCTCTACACACAGACACAAGCAAAAAAGCATCCATCAATATCTCTCTCTCTCTCTCTGACTGATTTTGGAATGTTGAATTGAATCAAATCGCCCGCAAGCCAAGGTGGCGTTTGATATACGCTGTGTTCACATGCACAGTAATAATCAATTCCTGTGATATTCCAAAAGGAGGTTCTGGCTGTTCACCAGTAGAAAAGTGGGTGAGGAACATCAACTGGAACAAGTGTCCATTCCTCTCTCTTGTTCAATCACCACACATGTCATCTGGTTAGTTGATATTTTGCACGTAGGCTTGTGGACGAGAACAAAGTGTCAAGAAGGGATGCATTTTGTCAGGAAAAGGAAAGAACTCTACTAGAGTGTTGCAATATCAAAATTCTTTGAGAATTTGATTTGAT